TCTGTTTGCTATTCTGATTGGATGTCTTTTGCTTCCTTATATTCCATAGTGATGATTTAATTCTTGGCTTCATACTATTATGTGTTATATCCCAGTAATGTATTCTTCATTTTAGGTGGTGTATCCTTTATTTCTGAAAGGTCCTTTTTTATGCTGCTGAGTTTCTCACTAAGTTCAGTGAGCATCCTTAAAACCAGTGTTTTTTTTTTTAACTGCATCTAGTGGATTGCTTGTCTCCATTTTGTTTAGTTCTTTCCTTGGAGTTTTGTTCTGTTTTTTTCATTTGGGTCATGTTTCTTTGTCTCCTCATTTTGGCAGCCTCACTGTGTTTGTTTCTATGTATCAGGTAGAGCTACTACATCTCCCAGGCTTGGTAGAGTGGCTTAATGTAGTAGGTGTTCTGTAGGGTCCAGTGGCATAGCCTCCCCAATAACCAAATCTGGGTACTCAACGTGCACCCCCAGTGTGCACTGGGACAACACTTTTGTTGTAGGTGAGCCTTGATTGCCGATGGCACATTAATGGGAGGGATTTACACCCAAGACTATCAGCTGCAAGGACTGGCTGCGACCACTGACCTCTGACCACTGTGGAGGATCAGCTGTGTAGGGGCCCACCACACAGAGCAGGACTTACTCTGGTGCCCACTGAGTCCACCTCTTGAATGTGTCACTTGTGGAGGTGGTTGAGTTGTGATACTTTGACATGGTCTGAAGTTGTCTACTGGATGGGTTATCTAGTGGGCCTCCCCAGAGGTACAGACCCAGGTTAGCCATCTCCTGTGTCCTGCCCTGTGTGAGGTGCAGAGCTATTTGCCAATGGCTGCTACTTGTCCTGGGCTCGGAGATGGACAGGTGAGGCCATGAGGCCACTTAGTAAGAAGTACGGGACATGCTGAGACCAGATGCTGCTTGTTTGAGATATTTTAGGAAAATGCTGTAAACAAGAGTGGCTGGTGCTAGTGTTGAGTCTGAGGCCACTTAGTAAGAAGTACGGGACACGCTGAGACCAGATGCTGCTTGTTTGAGATATTTTAGGAAAATCTGAAGTGTGAACCAAGGCAGGCCATTCACATGGAATACCCACTGAAAATAGTTTTAGTAGATCTGAAAGTTGAGTGGGAACAGGGTCTCAGGGAATCACCAGGGCAGGGCAAACAGTGTGAGTCAGTTTGATGTAGACTCAACTTCCTGCCAGCTCTATGGGGGAAGAGCACATCAAAGGAACAGTGGCCTCTGCCAGCACTTTTCTCTGGCAGCTCTCACCCTGATGCCAGAAAATTCATTTCTTCCCTGTATGTCTCTGGTGCCTTTCAAGTTGCTGCTCCTGTGCTGGAGCTCCGATGGAGTGAGTCCCAGTAAGTCTGTGTGCAGGACATGTAAGAGGAACTGCCTGGGACTCCAGCAGCCCTATGTCTCTCTCAGCCTCAATCTCTGTGTTTTTACAGCCAGAAGTTATGAGGCCTTGTCTTCATTGCTCTGGAACCCTGGGCCAGGGCCCTGGTGTAGAGCTACGACCCCTTGCTCCTCAGGAAGCACCTCTGCAGCTGAGATATACTTTCCCCTTTTTATTCTCACCCCAAGGATATGCTCATTGATTTTATAGAGATAGGAAAGGAGGGAGGTAAGAAAAGAGAGAGAAGATGAGAGACGAGAAAAGAGAGAAATAATCCATATGAGAGAGGAACATCGATTGGCTGCCTCCTGAGCGTTCCCTGACTTGGGATTAAACCTACAACCTAGCTATGTGCTGTGACTGGGAGTTGAACTGTCAACCTTTTGGTGTACTGAATGATGCTCCACCAACTTGAGTTATCCGTCCAGGGCAATATTCCTCCCATTTTTATCTGCCACATGTGGGTGTAGGGTCAGCCTGTTCTGCATCTCCACCCCTCCTACCAGTCTCAATGTGGTTTCTTCTTTAATTCCCTAGTTGTAGAACTTCCATTTAGCCAGATTTCAGGCATTTCTGAATCATAGTTGTTCTGTAGTTAATTTTACTTTTTATGTGGTTATAGGAGGAGGTGAGTGCTGCATTTACGTATGCTGCCATCTTGCCTGGACGTGTTTTTGGCCTTTTTTTAGTGACTAGCTTCTGGACTTAGATTAATGTTTTTAAGGTTAATCTTTCTCATAAAATGTATCAGTACTTCATTCATTTTTATGGCCGAATAGTATTCTGTTGTATGCATCTGTACCACATTTTGTTTATCCCTTTTTCTGCTCATAGACATTTGGGTTGGTTCTACATTTTG